CTGGATTTTTAACAGGGTCGTTAGGAAAATAAATACAATTCCTAGTCCCGACCTAGCTCAATATCTAGGCGTCGGATAACAACGAGACTACAGTATCCATAAAGTGACCATTAGACTTCCCAACTTTTCTGACTGAATATGTTTGTAGTGGCAACAGTTTTGATTACATTTACAATTTATCGCTCTCACATGCTCATTTCTGTCAATTAAGAACCAACAATGTGGCATCTTTTTGTAGCCGAAGTTCAGAGTTCTAACACCGGGTAGAGCAACTCTGTTGAAAACTTCACAAGATACTTTCTGCAAAACTGTAATTCATGCTGTCTTTCAGTACTGTAGTGTTATGGTGTGTGTGTGTGTGTGTGTGCTGAGCCAAGCCATTACGTTTTTAAGATGATTATGCAATTAAAATATCAGTGTTTGAGCGTTAGATGGAAACTACAATACTTTTTTCACATTTGCCAATTAGCCTACTCCCGCTTTTATCTTCTGGAATTCATACAGTGGGGGAAAAAAGTATTTAGTCAGCCACCAATTGTGCAAGTTCTCCCACTTAAAAAGATGAGAGAGGCCTGTAATTTTCATCATAGGTACACGTCAACTATGACAGACAAAATGAGATTTTTTTTCTCCAGAAAATCACATTGTAGGATTTTTTATGAATTTATTTGCAAATTATGGTGGAAAATAAGTATTTGGTCACCTACAAACAAGCAAGATTTCTGGCTCTCACAGACCTGTAACTTATTCTTTAAGAGGCTCCTCTGTCCTCCCCTCATTACCTGCATTAATGGCACCTGTTTGAACTTGTTATCAGTATAAAAGACACCTGTCCACAACCTCAAACAGTCACACTCCAAACTCCACTATGGCCAAGACCAAAGAGCTGTCAAAGGACACCAGAAACAAAATTGTAGACCTGCACCAGGCTGGGAAGACTGAATCTGCAATAGGTAAGCAGCTTGGTTTGAAGAAATCAACTGTGGGAGCAATTATTAGGAAATGGAAGACATACAAGACCACTGATAATCTCCCTCGATCTGGGGCTCCACGCAAGATCTCACCCCGTGGGGTCAAAATGATCACAAGAACGGTGAGCAAAAATCCCAGAACCACATGGGTGGACCTAGTGAATGACCTGCAGAGAGCTGGGACCAAAGTAACAAAGCCTACCATCAGTAAATAATAATAATAATATGCCATTTAGCAGACGCTTTTATCCAAAGCGACTTACAGTCATGCGTGCATACATTTTTTGTGTATGGGTGGTCCCGGGGATCGAACCCACTACCTTGGCGTTACAAGCGCCGTGCTCTACCAGCTGAGCTACAGAGGACCACAGTAACACACTATGCCGCCAGGGACTCAAATCCTGCAGTGCCAGACGTGTCCCCCTGCTTAAGCCAGTACATGTCCAGGCCTGTCTGAAGTTTGCTAGAGTGCATTTGGATGATCCAGAAGAGGATTGGGAGAATGTCATATGGTCAGATGAAACCAAAATATAACTTTTTGGTAAAAACTCAACTCGTCGTGTTTGGAGGACAAAGAATGCTGAGTTGCATCCAAAGAACACCATACCTACTGTGAAGCATGGGAGTGGAAACATCATGCTTTGGGGCTGTTTTTCTGCAAAGGGACCAGGACGACTGATCCGTGTAAAGGAAAGAATGAATGGGGCCATGTATCGTGAGATTTTGAGTGAAAACCTCCTTCCATCAGCAAGGGCATTGAAGATGAAACGTGGCTGGGTCTTTCAGCATGACAATGATCCCAAACACACCGCCCGGGCAACGAAGGAGTGGCTTCGTAAGAAGCATTTCAAGGTCCTGGAGTGGCCTAGCCAGTCTCCAGATCTCAACCCCATAGAAAATCTTTGGAGGGAGTTGAAAGTCTGTGTTGCCCAGCGACAGCCCCAAAACATCACTGCTCTAGAGGAGATCTGCATGGAGGAATGGGCCAAAATACCAGCAACAGTGTGTGAAAACCTTGTGAAGACTTACAGAAAACGTTTGACCTGTGTCATTGCCAACAAAGGGTATATAACAAAGTATTGAGAAACTTTTGTTATTGACCAAATACTTATTTTCCACCATAATTTGCAAATAAATTCATTAAAAATCCTACAATGTGATTTTCTGGATTTCTTTTTCTCATTTTGTCTGTCATCGTTGACGTGTACCTATGATGAAAATTACAGGCCTCTCTCATCTTTTTAAGTGGGAGAACTTGCACAATTGGTGGCTGACTAAATACTTTTTTCCCCCACTGTACAGGGGTACCGGTACAGAGTCAATGTGCGGGGGAACCGGTTACATTTACATTTACATTTTAGTCATTTAGCAGACGCTCTTATCCAGAGCGACTTACAGGAGCAATTAGGGTTAAGTGCCTTGCTCAAGGGCACATTTACGTAATTTAGCAGACGCTCTTATCCAGAGCGACTTACAAATTGGTGCATTCACCCTATAGCCAGTGGGATAACCACCTTACAATTTTTTTTTTTTTGGGGGGGGGGGGGGGGGGGGGGGGTAGAAGGATTACTTTATCCTATCCCAGGTATTCCTTAAAGAGGTGGGGTTTCAAATGTCTCCGGAAGGTGGTGAGTGACTCCGCTGTCCTGGCGTCGTGAGGGAGCTTGTTCCACCATTGGGGTGCCAGAGCAGCGAACAGTTTTGACTGGGCTGAGCGGGAGCTCAACTCTACGCACATATGTACATGTGGGTAGAGTTAAAGTGACTATGCATAGATAATACACAGAGTAGCAGCAGCGTAAAAGAGGGGGTGGGGGAGACAATGCAAATAGTCCGGGTAGCCAGTATGAGGTGGACCAGAGCCAGTTGGCTACAGCAAATATTATGGATATACTGACAAGATACATGTCTCTCCGCCCTAACAATGGGAGTCGCTGTCTAGCTCCCGCCTATGCTTTTTTTTTTGTATTGGTGGATACATTTAATATTGTAATCCAATTTTGAATATTTGATGAGTTTGTTGACGTCAACTGCATGTATTCAATTGAGAGATATGCTACGCTACTAACCTCATGTCATGAACATACATAGTCATATCGAGACAACTCCAATATAAAGTGTTTTTTTCTCTCAAAGTTGCCGGGATGTCACGTGTCCTACTTATATCAGTACACTCATAACTTAAGCATTACGAAACTTCTATTCGATCAAATAAAAGTAATGTAGCAAATATGGCATTCATTTTTTGGTTGAACAAATTCGACAATCATTGACCTCCATACAAAACTCCTTGTTTGGTCGGGCGAAACAACGAAACACCGCCACCTGCTGGATGGAGACAGATTTTCCGCGGAGTGCCTCTCTTCCTCTCTGGCTACAGTGCCTTCAGAAAGTATTTGCACCCCCTCGCCTTTTTCCACATTTCGTTGTGTTACAGCCTGAATTGAACATTTTATTAAATTGAGATTTTTTTTTGTCACTGGCCTACACCCAATTCCCCATAATGTCAAAGTGGAATTATGTTTTTCGAAATGTTTTACGAATTAATAAAAAATGAAAAGCTGAAATGTCTTGAGTCAATAAATAAGCCTAAATAAGTTCAGGAGTAAAAATGTGCTTAACAAGTCACATAAGAAGTGTATAATAAGAAATAAATAGTCATTCAAAAATCATGTTAAACACTATCTCATCTCTGTACCTCAGACACGTATTCTCTGTAAGGTCCCTGAGTCGAGCAGTGAATTTCAAAAACAGATTTAACCACAAAGACCAGGGAGGTTTTCCAATGTCTCGCAAAGAAGGGCACCTATTGGTAGATGGGTAAAAAAAAAAAAAAAAGTAGACCTTGAAAATCCCTTTGGTGAAGTTATTAATTACGCTTTGGATGGTGTCTCAATACAATTCTCAATGGTGTTCTTCACTGGTTGCTGTGATGGCACACTAATTCACCTTTCAGCAGGCCAGTAGCCGAAAACACAAGCCCAAACACACGAGTTGCTTACCAAGAAGACATTGAATGTTCCTGAGAGGCCTAGTTACAGTTTTGACTTCAATCGGCTTGAAAATCTATGGCAAGACTTGAAAATGGCTGTCTAGCAATGATCAACAACCAATTTGACAGAGGATGAAGAATAAAAATGAAAGAAAATCTGCAAATATTGTACAATCCAGGGGTGCAAAGCTCTTAGAGACTTACCCAGAAAGACTCACAGCTGTAATCGCTGCCAAAGGTGATTCTAACATGTATTGACTCAAGGGGTTTAATACTTATCTAATCCAGATTATTACAAAACATTTTTACAACAAAAGTATTTTGTGTAGATCGTTGCCCAAAAAATGACAAATAAATCCATTTTAATCCCACAACAAAATGTGGAAAAATTCAAGGGATGGGAATACTTTCTGAAGGCGCAGTAGCTAAATGAACCATGACCTTTGGCAGAAGATACTGACCCTACCGTTACGCTTGTTTACACTGAGCTGCACTGGGGTCGAAACGCAACCGTGGTTACATTAAGACACCATGGAGCCAGGTCGAGATATGGGTCGGAAAACGTACCTCAATGCAGGGATGGGATATGCCACTGTACTACAAATTTTACCATTATCCACAATGCTCCATCGAGAAGATTGAAATACTACCCTTTTCGTCCTCATGCTAGCTAACAGTAAACACAGCAGCCATTATGGAATGGCACAAAGGAGCTGATTGGCTGACACTGCAATTTCAAAATGGCTGCGGTGGCTATTGCTAGCTAGCATGAAGATGTGAAGGGTAGTTTTCCAGGAAAACAAGCAGCGTTTCCAGTATTCCTCGGTGAAACAGTGTGGATAAAGGTCAAATTTGGAGTACAGTGTCACATCCCATCCCTGCATTGAGGTACGTTTTCCGACCCATATCTTGCGCCGGCTCTATAGTGTCTTAAAGTAATCATGGTTGAACAGAATGCTTTGGAACAGTCTATCAGTGTCTGTGTTCCATCTATCTCTCTCAGTGTTGTGAAGCCCCGTGTTGCGACCATTGAGGAGATGGCCAAGTTCCACACAGACGCCTACCTGGAGCACCTCCACAAAATCAGCCAGGACGGAGACAATGATGACCCCCCCCAGTCTGGAGACTTTGGCCTGGGTAAGAGGAGAGGGAAGGACAGGGTCCCTGGAGCTTAGTTTGACAGACATCAATAAATGAGAGATGGGAGAGAGTACCGTTGTCACTTCATGTAATGTTTATTTGCTGGCAGTAGAGGGTACTCTAACACCAGATAAAAATGACCCACCTCCCATTGCCTCCACTTGGCAAAAGGTTGATTGACAACACACTAAATATGGTTACTTTATGAATCTACATTAAAAACCCTCCAGTTATATATTTGAAGGTATAAATAACAGATTGATGCTGACGGTTAGACGCTACTTTCCTTTGCCCCCGTAGGTTACTTATGTTATCTAGGTCTGTGGGTGGGAGCCTGTGGGAAGGATGCAACCTCAGTCCGGTATCATTGGATGGGGAACACTCATCTTCTGCCAACCTTTCTATTAGAAAAAAAACACCTCAATCTCACCATATGTGTTTTCTCTGTCTTCCCCATCTCTCCATATCCCCCCTCCAACACCCTTCCTTTTCATTGTCTCTCTTTCTCTTCCGCCTCTCTCTTCCTCCCTTTGTTTCTCCTCCACACCTCTGTCTGGTCCTTCCTCTCTCTCGTCCCTCTCTCTCTCTCCTCTCCCTCTTCATCTCTCTCTCTCTCTCTCTCTCTCTCTCTCTCTCTCTCTCTCTCCTCTCTCTCTCTCCATCTCTCTCTCTCCTCTCTCTCTCCTCTCTCTCTCCTCCTCTCTCATCCCTTCTTCTCCTCTCCTCTCTCTCCTCCCTTTCGACTTCACCTCTCCTTCCTACCCACTCTCCTCCCTATTTTCTTCGTTCCATCCTCTCGTCTCTCTTCCTACGCGATCTTCCTTTCTGCCTCTCCTCGTTCCTCCTCATTCGCCTCCTGCTTTCCCTATGTTATGCTGCCGTGGTGCTGGTATGCCTGATTATCTCGACGTCTGGCTGGCTCCACCTCGCGGCTGTCTCTCTCCTCATAGGTCACTTGAGACCAGGGAATCTGATATCTTCTAGACGTTAAATGTTGTTGAATAAATCCATGCTAGCTTGTCAAGCCGTCTTGGTACTTTCTGTCCTCACACTATCTCACTTCTCTTCCTATCCTTGTCTTTCTCTCTGTCTCTTACCCTCTCATCTGTCTGGGCTGTTCTCTTCTGTCTGGGCCTGTTTTCTCTCTTCTGTGTTCTGCGGCCTGTTTCTCTCCTCTGTCTGGGACTGTTTCTTCTCTCTGTCTGGGACTGTTTCTCTCCTCTCTGTCTGGGACTGTTTTCTTCTCTGTCTGGGACTGTTTCTCTCTCTCTGTCTGGGACTGTTTCTCTTCTTCTGTCTGGGACTGTTTTCTCTGCTCTGTCTGGGACTGTTTCTCTCTCTGTCTGGGACTGTTCTCTCTCTGTCTGGGACTGTTTCTCTCTCTCTGTCTGGGACTGTTTCTCTCTCTCTGTCTGGGACTGTTTCTCTCTCTCTGTCTGGGACTGTTTCTCTCTCTCTGCCTGGGACTGTTTCTCTCTCTCTGTCTGGGACTGTTTCTCTCTCTGTCTGGGACTGTTTCTCTCTCTTCTCTGGGACTGTTTCTCTCTCTCTGTCTGGGACTGTTTCTCTCTTCTCTGTTCTTGGGACTGTTCTCTCTCTGTTGGGACTGTTTCTCTCTTGTCTGGGACTGTTTCTCTCTCTGTCTGGGACTGTTTCTCTCGCTCTGTCTGGGACTGTTTCTCTCTCTGTCTGGGACTGTTTCTCTCTGCTCTGGGACTGTTTCTCTCTCTGTCTGGGACTGTTTCTCTCTCTGTCTGGGACTGTTTCTCTCTCTCTGTCTGGGACTGTTCTCTCTCTCTGTCTGGGACTGTTTCTCTCTCTGTCTGGGACTGTTTCTTCTCCTGTCTGGACTGTTTTCTTCTCTGTCTGGACTGTTTTCTCTCGTCTGGGGACTTTTCTGTGGGACTGTTTCTCTCTCTGTCGGGACTGTTTCTCTCTCTTGTCTGGGACTGTTTCCTCTCTTGTCTGGGACTGTTTCTCTCTCTGTCTGGGACTGTTTCTCTCTCTGTCTGGGACTGTTTCTCTCTCTGTCTGGGACTGTTTCTCTCTCTGTCTGGGACTTTCTCTCTCTCTGTCTGGGACTGTTTCTCTCTCTATGTCTGGGACTGTTTCTCTCTCTATGTCTGGGACTGTTTCTCTCTCTATGTCTGGGACTGTTTCTTTCTCTCTGTCTGGGACTGTTTCTCTCTCTGTCGGATTGCTCGTCTGGCTGGGCTGTTTCTCTGTCGGACTGTTTTCCTCTCTCTGTCTGGGAATGTTTCTCTCGCTGGCTGGGGGACTGTTTCTCTGTCTCTCTGTATGGGGACTGTTCTCGTCTGTCGGGGACTCTGTTTATTCTCTCTGTCTGGGACTGTTTCTCTGTCTCTTGTTGGGATGTTTCTCTTCTCTGTCTGGATGTTTCTCTCTCTCTGTCTGGGACTGTTTCTCTCCTCTATGTTGGGGAGGTTCTTTCTATCTGTCTGGGGGACTGTCTCTCTGTCTGGGAATGTTTCCTATGTCTGGGACTGTTCTTCTCTCTGTCTGGGGACTCTGTTTCTCTCGCTCTGTCTGGGATGTTAACCTGCTCTCTCTTCTCGCTCCGCTCTCTGCTATCTCTTTCTCTCTCTCTATCTCTCTCTCTCTCTCTCTCTCTCTCTCTCTCTCTCTCTCTCCTCTCTCTCTCTCTCTTCTTTCTGTCTCTCTTTCTCTCTCTTTTTTTCTCTCTCTCTCTCAGGGATGAGGCGTCAGGGTTCTGTTATGTGAATGATGCGGTGCTAGGGATTCTCAAGCTGAGGGGGAAATACGAGAGAGTTCTGTACGTCGACGTGGACCTTCACCATGGAGACGGTACACACACCTTTCCCTGTCTCTCACATACACCAATGGACAAACACGCACATCTGAATGTGCATTGATATTGTGTCAATATTGTGCAGTACTGTAAGTGGATACAAAAGTTTCATCAAGGTTGATTTATAATTTTTAGTCTGTCAATAAGATAAATTATTGTGTATTTTTAGATACTTCTCTCAGGTGTGGAAGATGCCTTCAGTTTTACCTCTAAAGTGATGACCGTGTCGCTGCACAAGTTCTCTCCTGGATTCTTCCCGGGTCAGTGGCTACTGCTAATTCTGATGACCATTATACTACAACTGTCCAGGACCAGGGTTGGTGACCAGTATTCCTCAACCTTTCTTGTGCCAGTGAAACTATGGCCCTTTGTTTGCTGGTAGCTACCAACAAGCTATGGTCCTTCCTCCTTGGGGGACAGCTAAACATTAGAAGTAGCATTTGAAAAATGACTACATGGCTACATCCTTGTCTGTTAACCATCTGAGGGATTGGTATTTGAGAAACATTGATACCCAATGCACTTGAAACACCCACCCACACACCCGTAGTAACCCTGCTGCCCTGTTGTAGGTACAGGAGACCTGGGTAAAGGACGCTGGTACGCCGTCAACGTCCATCTGGATGACGGCATCAAAGACGACAGATACTTCCAGGTCTTCACAAGGTACAAAACCATTTCCATAATGCTTAACATTGTCAGTAACAGACATTTAAAAAGCTAGGGTTGCATGTTCATTGTTTTGTTGAGGCTTTGCAACTGTAGAGAAAATACAAATGTTTTTGTTTAGTAAAATTATAACGTTGTCCATTCTATGGTTTATATGTTAGATTACATATTGCATTGGATTAAGTTGTCAGTCTGTAATGATTGTAATTGTTATAGTCAGATTATGATATGTATTTTACAGTATGTTAGATGAAGTTAATTAATGTTAGATTAACTATTAAAGTTGTGATTATTGTCATCATCAGTGTGATGAAGGAGGTGCAGACATTGTTTAACCCGGAAGCAGTAGTGATGCAGCTGGGAGCTGACACCATGGCTGGTGACCCCATGTGTTCCTTCAACATGACCCCTGTCGGGGTGGCACAGAGTCTACGACACATACTAGACTGGCACCTACCCACAATGCTACTGGGAGGAGGTCGGTCCAGGACAGTCCAGCTTCAGACTGCTACTGGGAGGAGGTCGGTCCAGGACAGTCCAGATCCACACTGCTACTGGGAGGAGGTCGGTCCAGGACAGTCCAGATCCACACTGCTACTGGGAGGAGGTCGGTCCAGGACAGTCCAGATCCACACTGCTACTGGGAGGAGGTCGGTCCAGGACAGTCCAGATCCAGGCTGCTACTGGGAGGAGGTCGGTCCAGGACAGTCCAGATCCAGGCTGCTACTGGGAGGAGGTCGGTCCAGGACAGTCCAGATCCAGGCTGCTACTGGGAGGAGGTCGGTCCAGGACAGGCCAGATCCACACTGCTACTGGGAGGAGGTCGGTCCAGGACAGTCCAGATCCAGGCTGCTACTGGGAGGAGGTCGGTCCAGGACAGGCCAGATCCAGGCTGCTACTGGGAGGAGGTCGGTCCAGGACAGTCCAGATCCACACTGCTACTGGGAGGAGGTCGGTTCAGGACAGGCCAGATCCACACTGCTACTGGGAGGAGGTCGGTCCAGGACAGTCCAGATCCAGGCTGCTACTGGGAGGAGGTCGGTCCAGGACAGGCCAGATCCAGGCTGCTACTGGGAGAGGGTCGGTCCAGGACAGTCCAGATCCAGGCTGCTACTGGGAGGAGGTCGGTCCAGGACAGTCCAGATCCACACTGCTACTGGGAGGAGGTCGGTCCAGGACAGTCCAGATCCACACTGCTACTGGGAGGAGGTCGGTCCAGGACAGTCCAGATCCACACTGCTACTGGGAGGAGGTCGGTCCAGGACAGTCCAGATCCACACTGCTACTGGGAGGAGGTCGGTCCAGGACAGTCCAGATCCAGGCTGCTACTGGGAGGAGGTCGGTCCAGGACAGTCCAGATCCACACTGCTACTGGGAGGAGGTCGGTCCAGGACAGTCCAGATCCACACTGCTACTGGGAGGAGGTCGGTCCAGGACAGTCCAGATCCAGGCTGCTACTGGGAGGAGGTCGGTCCAGGACAGTCCAGATCCACACTGGTACTGGGAGGAGGTCGGTCCAGGACAGTCCAGATCCAGGCTGCTACTGGGAGGAGGTCGGTCCAGGACAGTCCAGATCCAGGCTGCTACTGGGAGGAGGTCGGTCCAGGACAGTCCAGATCCACACTGCTACTGGGAGGAGGTCGGTCCAGGACAGTCCAGATCCACACTGCTACTGGGAGGAGGTCGGTCCAGGACAGTCCAGATCCACACTGCTACTGGGAGGAGGTCGGTCCAGGACAGTCCAGATCCACACTGCTACTGGGAGGAGGTCGGTCCAGGACAGTCCAGATCCAGGCTGCTACTGGGAGGAGGTCGGTCCAGGACAGTCCAGATCCACACTGCTGTACCAGATGATAACTGTTCAGTAAAATGAAGCCGTTTTACTCACTACAATCCTTCTATTTTTCCTCTCTCTCTCTCTCTCTCTCTCTCTCTCTCTCTCCCTCCCATCTCGCTCTCTCGCTCTCTTTCGCTCTTTCTCCCCCTCTCTTGTTCTCTTTCGGTCTCTCTCTCTCCCCCCCTCTCTCGCTCTTTCGCTTTCCTTCCCTCTCTCTCGTTCTCTCTCTTTCTCTCTCTCTTCCGCCTCCCTCTCTCGCTCTCTCTCCCCCCTCTTTTGCTCCCCCCCCCCTCTCTCTCGCTCTAGGAGGGTATAACCTTGCCAAAACGGCTCGTTGTTGGACCTACCTGACTGCGTCCATCCTGGGACAAACACTGGCCTCTGAATTACCTGACCATGAGGTAAGACTACATAGCACAGCCCCTAACACACACACACACACCATACATAGTGTGCCCACACACACACTTTGCGGTCCGTCTTCGCTGAGTCATTCCCTCTAATCAAAGATGGCCGCCGGCCCTCAATAAAAGGGTTTGTTTCCAGGTGAATCAGGAGGGATGAAGGGAGGAGAGGAGAGAAGGGGAACAATACCACTCTGTCCCCTTTAGACCTGACAGAGGGCCTCTGTTTCTCTCCCTCTCTCTCTCCTTATCTTTTTTTGTCTTCTTACAAGAACCTTGTGTATTTTATTCTGAGGGGGGAGGGGCAGTTTCTTTTTGGTGAATTCCCATATAATTAGAGAGGGAGAGAGTGAGTGAGATGGAGGGAGAGAGACGGAGAGAGATTTTCCATGTACAGTGAGGGGTAGGTATCTATCTCGTCTGAGACAGAGGGTCTTTCTGTAGTGTGTTGGCCGTGATAAGGGCTCCTCTTGTTTCCTCTCTGACAGGTCAGGCTGTGACCTCATACGACCTTTAACGTCATTAAGAAGGCCCCACCTCAAACAACACAAACCAGCTGCTACAACACACACGCACACACACCATTACACACACACTTAAACAAGGACAGGGATGGAGAGAGTGAGAGGAAGACAAGGAGGGAGAGAGGGAGAGTAGGAGAGAGGAAGACAAGGAGGGAGAGAGAGGGAGAGTAGGAGAGAGGAAGACAAGGAGGGAGAGAGAGGGAGAGTAGGAGAGAGGAAGACAAGGAGGGAGAGAGGAAGATGAGAGGGAGAGAGAGGGAGAGTAGTAGAGAGGAAGATAGTCAGTGAGAGAGACTTGTAGCATCTGTGTGTTCTTATCAGTGTGTGTTTGTATCAGTGTGTGTTTGTATCAGTGTGTGTTTGTATCAGTGTGTGTTTGTATCAGTGTGTGTTTGTATCAGTGTGTGTTTGTATCAGTGTGTGTTTGTATCAGTGTGTGTTTGTATTTATGTGTGTGTGTGTTTGTATTTATGTGTGTGTGTGTTCATATCTATGTGTGTGTGTGTGTTCGTATCTGTAATAGTGTGTGCACAAGAGAGGAGTATTTACCCACGATGACTGAGCAACGTGAGGACCAAGGAGAAGGGAAAACACAAAGTACTTTGTTGTACCTGAGACCCAGAGAGAAGCCAAAGCTCCCTCTCTCCTTCCCCAGCTGGCTGCAGCCTCTCTGGGCCCCGTCAGCCAGGACAGCCCCCTAACCACCCTGGAACAATGGAGCTAGAGCCAGACACAGGGCTAGGGGCTATCGACCGGGCACACAAGGGCCTCCTTTCAGACCATCACACACACAGACGGAGGACTACTGACATTGTAAAAAGAGCTGCCCCTTGACCCTAACAGTCACCCCGACAGTTCAGATCTGACAGAGTAGATGTACAGTGTAGAGAATGTCTTGGTTTGGTGTGTGGAGACAAGGAAGGGTGGTTGTTGAAGACTGTACATAGAATACCCTAGATGCAGACAGACTGAAGCCACAGGTGCCTCAGGTATCATATGTTACAGAGGTCAACCTGTAAAAGGAACCATGGAAGATCATAAGGATAAAGAAATAGGCCAGAGTTGTCTTAGCGCTATAGGACTTGGCAAGGCAGCACCAGCTACTTGACCTGTATTGTCTGTTAACCATTTCCTGATCTCACCAGGGATCAAAGGTCACCTAGTCTTGATTAGCTGAGTCAGAAGGTTTTGAAGGTTTGTGGGATTCTCCCAAATGGCACCCTATTCCTTACGTAGTGCACTACCTTTGATTAGGGCTGGGCGATATGGCTCGATTTTTCAAATGTTTTCTCAGCAATAATAATGAATTCAGGGCTTGTGAAATTATACCTAGGCTAAATACATGCCCTCCACAACCATAAGACCCATTCATTATTTAATTAAAATAGTTTAACCTGCTTTTTTGCAATAATCCCTGATCTGGCTTTCAAGTCTGCCTATAAAAATGCCCATTTTGTTACAAATTTAACCAGAACCATGCATGATGCACATTCACTAATAATCACTAACTTCGTGTAGCAGGCATTATAGAAAATTAACACTGGTCTCATCAACAATCTCTCAAGAACAAGCCCATGTGCTAGTGAGTAGCTAATCTTTCTATTTCAAGTTTAGACAACTTTTTGCTAGCTAACAAGGCAGAACAGTTGAATTGTTATGAACACACCCTTCTGTCCGTCTCCAACTGTTTGAACAGCATGCTAGTCTGTCCACATTGTTCATGTTGAAATCAAGTGGCCTACCTTATCTCTCAGAATGAGAACGAGTTGCCAATTCCTTATATGATTGTTTTATGCTTATTGCACATTAATAAAACACAGACTAGACAGCTAGTATAACGTCTGATGCGTTTTGTTTAGCCGGATGCCTTGCCATGTTTTTCTCCTTCGCTTTTCCGCTAACTAAAAGCTAGCTAGATGAAGTATGTGTGTCTACTTCCGTTCGGTAAGGCTGAGGGATTTGAGAAGTTGATACATAAAAAGGGTATCGCTAGAAAGGTTAACTTCTCTATTACCGTAAAATAATGTGTCCATGTGTTTCGTTGTGTCCATATGACCTGTTTTGTTGGACCAAACCTCAAATGCAAATTAGCGAGTTGAAACCGCGTGTCAGAAAGGAAGAAGTGATCTCTCATCTTTGTTGTTGTGAGTAGAAAGGGGAGGGGCTTGGTGTGAAGCAGGAAGTAGGGGTGCTGCAGCACTGGGCCTTTACTAGTATTAGTGGACCGACGTAGACGTATGTAGCGCAGGCGAAACACTTTTTCCAGCATCTCTGCTTTGGTAAAAAAAGGTAGTTTTATAATTAAGAACAGTATTTTGCAAGACTCAATAGTTGGAATTGTAAGAGTTGTTGCCCTGTCCCTTTCTCTGAGAATGTCATTCTAATGCAGGGTTCCCCCAACTGGCGTAAATTGTCATTGTTGGACTTGTATTTTTTTTAACACCAGGAAATCCGCTCCAAGTGATTTTAATTAGGAAAATCTGTCCCAAGTACAGTGAGGGAAAAAAGTATTTGATCCCCTGCTGATTTTGTACGTTTGCCCACTGACAAAGACATGATCAGTCTATAATTTTAATGGTAGGTTTATTTGAACAGTGAGATACAGAATATCCAGAAAAACGCATGTCAAAAATGTTATGAATTGATTTGCATTTTAATGAGGGAAATAAGTATTTGACCCCTCTGCAAAACATGACTTAGTACTTGGTGGCAAAATGCTTGTTGGCAATCACAGAGGTCAGACGTTTCTTGTAGTTGGCCACCAGGTTTGCACACATTTTAGGAGGGATTTTGTTCCACTCCTCTTTGCAGATCTTCTCCAAGTCATTAAGGTTTCGAGGCTGACGTTTGGCAACTCTAACCTTCAGCTCCCTCCACAGATTTTCTATGGGATTAAGGTCTGGAGACTGGCTAGGCCACTCCAGGACCTTAATGTGCTTCTTCTTGAGCCACTCCTTTGTTGCCTTGGCCGTGTGTTTTGGGTCATTGTCATGCTGGAATACCCATCCACGACCCATTTTCAATGCCCTGGCTGAGGGAAGGAGGTTCTCACCCAAGATTTGACGGTACATGGCCCCGTCCATCGTCCCTTTGATGCGGTGAAGTTGTCCTGTCCCCTTAGCAGAAAAACACCCCCAAAGCATAATGTTTCCACCTCCATGTTTGATGGTGGGGATGGTGTTATTGGGGTCATAGGCAGCATTCCTCCTCCTCCAAACACGGCGAGTTGAGTTGATGCCAAAGAGCTCGATTTTGGTCTCATCTGACCACAACACTTTCATCCAGTTCTCCTCTGAATCATTCAGATGTTCATTGGCAAACTTCAGATGGGCCTGTATATGTGCTTTCTTGAGCAGGGGGACCTTGCGGGCGCTGCAGGATTTCAGTCCTTCATGGCGTAGTGTGTTACCAATTGTTTTCTTGGTGACTATGGTCCCAGCTGCCTTGAGATCATTGACAAGATCCTCCCGTGTAATTCTGGGCTGATTCCTCACCGTTCTCATGATCATTGCAACTCCACGAGGTGAGATCTTGCATGGAGCCCCAGGCCGAGGGAGATTGACAGTTATTTTGTGTTTCTTCCATTTGCGAATAATCGCACCAACTGTTGTCACCTTCTCACCAAGCTGCCTGGCGATGGTCTTGTAGCCCATTCCAGCCTTGTGTAGGTCTACAATCTTGTCCCTGATATCCTTGGAGAGCTCTTTGATATTGGCCATGGTGGAGAGTTTGGAATCTGATTGATTGATTTATTCTGTGGACAGGTGTCTTTTATACAGGTAACAAAATGAGATTAGGAGCACTCCCTTTAAGAGTGTGCTCCTAATCTCAGCTCATTACCTGTATAAAAGACACCTGGGAGCCAGAAATCTTTCTGTTTGAGAGGGGGTCAAATACTTATTTCCCTCATTAAAATGCAAATCAATTTATAACATTTTTGACATGCGTTTTTCTGGATTTTTTTGTTGTTATTCTGTCTCTCACTGTTCAAATAAACCTACCATTAAAATTATAGACTGATCATTTCTTTGTCAGTGGGCAAATGTACAAAATCAGCAGGGGATCAAATACTTTTTTCCCTCACTGTATTTCCACACATATTAGAGAGACACGTAATCATATACAAGTGTAAGCAAGGTTTGAAATTATGTTTTAGTCAAATATTATATATGTTAGGCCTTGTTGCGGTCAATTTGCAGTCTACAAATTATTTGTAATTACGTTCAGGCACCCCGACCATCCGCTCAATAAAAAACCGACCCACGGCTAGTTGATGATCGCTGTTCTAATGGAATCCAGAAAGAACAAAACCCTGTCCTCAAACATTTACATCAAAAGGTGCAAAGTTGTGGGCAAAGACACAAAATATCCACATCAAATTAAATATTTTTCTTGATAAAATAACATGGAAAACACCCACTTTTGTGCAGTATTAATTTACCATCCTTACAAACCACTGTATTGTACATAGGCTGGTCATCTAGGTTTGTACCTGTAGAAAAACAATGCACAATACAGTAATTGAGTACATTGTGACATCAAGTGGTTTGTGATGATGTGGCTCAGTTGGTAGAGCATTGCACTTGCAATGAATAGACATTTCACTTTTCACATAGAAATAAGTTGCATTCCCTCCCTCCCTCCCTCCCTCCCTCCCTCCCTCCCTCCCTCCCTCCCTCCCTCCCTCCTCCCGTCCCACTCTCCCTCCTCCCGTCCCTCCCTCCCTCCCTCCCTCCCTCCCTCCCTCCCTCCTCTCCCCTCCCGTCCCCTCCCTCCCTCCCTCCCTCCTCCCTCCCTCCTCCCTCCCTCCCTCCCTCCTCCCTCCCTCCCTCCCTCCCCTCCCTCCCTCCTCCCTCCCTCCCTCCCTCCCTCCTCCCGTCCCTCCCTCCCCTCCCTCCTCCCCCCTCCTCCCTCCCCCCTCCCTCCCCCCCCCCCTCCCCCTCCCCCCTCCTCCCTCCCTCCCTCCTCCCTCCCTTCCTCCCTTCCCCCTCCCCCCTCCCCTCCCTCCCCCCTCCCCTTCCCTCCCCCCCTCCCCCCCCTCCCTTCCCTCCCCCCTCCCCCTCCCTCCCCTCCTCCCTCCTCCTCCCCCCTCCCTCCCCCTCTCCCTCCCTCCCTCCCTCCCTCCTTCCTCCCTCCCCTCTCCCCCCCCCCTTCCCCTTTCCTTCTCCCCCTCTCCCCCCCCCCCTCCCCCTCCTTCCTTCCCTCCCTCCTCCCCTTTTCCCTCCGTCCCCCCCCCCCCCTCCCTTCCTCCCCTCCCCCCCCCCCCTCCCCCCCCCCCCTTCCCCCCCCTCCCCCCTCCTCCCTCCTTCCCCCCCTCCCCCCTTCCCCCCCCTTTCCCCCTCCTCCCTCCCCCCTCCCTCCCCCTCCCCGCCCCCTTCCCCCCCCACCCCCCCCCCTCCCCCCGTCCCTTCGCCTCCCTCCCTCCCGTCCCGTCCCTCCGCTCTCTCCCTCCTCCTCCCGTCCCTCTCATGCTCCCCTCTTCCCTTCCACGCTCCCCCCTCTTTCTTCCCGTCCCTCCCTCCCTTCCTCATTAAACACAAAAGAGTTCTGTAGAAAATGAAAATGTTCCAGTGTTTTCTCTCTCTCTAGTAAATCCTCTGTGTTCCAATATCCACACCAACATACCATTGAGTATGAAGCGATGTATCGGGCATGCATTTGTAAGGGGTATGCTAGTATGTGCATTCAAACAGAGGGTAGGTAGAATAGGCTTAGCTTTGAGGAGAGAGATTTTACAGGACTATCAGCACACACATACACATCCATACCTAGTGCACAAACACACACAGTACCGTGGCCCTCTACACTTCTCTCCGGTGCCCTCAGTCCCCTCCCAGATTGGCAGTTGAGTCACTTCTTGTCCCGCCCCTGTACTTCCTGTTTCCTGCTTGGTACTTCCTCTCTGGGGTGTGTCTCTCTCCGTCTGCCCGTCAGGAAATACTGGGCTCAATCACCGGAAAACTGAGCTGTGATGGGGAAGTGTGTGTGTGTGTGTGTAAGTGTGTGTGTGTGTTTGTGTTTGTGTGTGTAAGGTGGGGTCAATGTCAGAGCGGCCCTGTGGAGATGAGCAGTCAGTCAGTTCTAAATGGGACAGACGTAGTGAGTCCTATATGGCACCCTATTCCCTATATAGTGCGCAAATGTTGACCAGAGCCGTATGGGCCCTGGTCGAAGGTAGTGCACTATATAGGGAATAGGGTGCCATTTAGGACGAGCAGCGAAGGACAATGAGAGGATCAGTGGGCCTTGACCTGATTACTGACTGTATTGTGTTGTTGTAGTACCTTCTGTAGAGGGTCGGGCCACGGGAGGGAGGGAGGGAGGGAGGGATGGAGAGAGATGAGGGAGGGAGGGAGGGAGGGAGGGAGGGAGGGAGGGAGGGAGGGGAGAGAGAGAGAGAGAGAGAGAGAGAGGGAGGGAGGGAGGCGAGGGGAGGGAGGAGGAGGGAGGGGAGAGAGGGAGGGAGGGAGGGAGGGAGGGAGGGAGGGAGGGGGGAGCGGGAGATATTATGGGAGAGAGAGAGACGCCTATGTGCACTCTGGGTTGAAATTGATTAGGAACTCTACATTTGTTTTGCCAGCGCTTTTTCCACAACTCAAAACATTGACTCTTCATATCTGGAGCTGGAGTCATTTCTGAGATGTAGAGGAGAACAATGAACAAGGGTCGGATTCCTTTTCTATTCTGGCTCGGGCTAGTCTCTCAAAACACACACACAGACAGACAGACAGAGACAGAGAGAGAGATTTAGTTGCAGTATGGTATATTATCTGGATTATGATGTAACATTTGGGTATTTCTGTCAATTTCTCTGACTCTCTTCCCTCTATCTTTCTGTCCTGTCTCCCAGTCCATTCACCCTCGTCTCACCTCATCTCCCCCTCTCCCCAATCCCCTTCACCCTCGTTTCTCCTCATCTCTCCCTCTCCCCAATCCCCTTCACCCTCATCTTCCCTCCTCTCTCCCCCTTCACCCTCGTCTCACCCTCATCTCATCTCATCTCTCCCTCTCCACAATCCCCTTCACCCTCTTCTCACCTCATCTCTCCCCAATCCCATTCACCCTCGTCTCACCTCATCTCCCCCTCTCCCCAATCCCCTTCACCCTCGTCTCGTCTCACCTCATCTCTCCCTCTCCCCAATCCCCTTCACCCTCGTTTCTCCTCATCTCTCCCTCTCCCCAATCCCCTTCACCCTCATCTTCCCTCCTCTCTCCCCCTTCACCCTCGTCTCACCCTCATCTCATCTCATCTCTCCCTCTCCACAATCCCCTTCACCCTCTTCTCACCTCATCTCTCCCCAATCCCCTTCACCCTCTTCTCACCTCATCTCTCCCCAATCCCCTTCACCCTCGTCTCACCTCCTCTCTCCCCCGCCATCTTCTCTAATCTCAGTACTGTAGTTCCATTCCAACCCAAACATCCAGTCAGCAGCACACACACACACACACTCTGCCTGAACCATTAGTAAACCACACACTCTGCCTGAACCACTAGTAAACCTCAAAAGAGCTATTTCACAAAGACAAAACAGGCTGTGTTTTTCAAATGAGCACAGCTCTCTCTGTGTCAAATCAAATCAAATTGTGCCGAATACAACAGGTGTAGACCTTACAGTGAAAAGCTTACTTACAAGCCCTTAACCAACAATGCAGTTTTAAGTAAAATAAGTGTTAAGTAAAAAATTAGATAAGTAAAAAATAAAATAAAAAAATAATTAAAGACCAGCAGTAAAATAAAATAACAGTAGGGAGGCTATATACAGGGGTACCGGTACAGTCAATGTGCTGGGGCACCGGTTAGTCGAGGTAATATGTACATGTGGGTAGAGTTAAAGTGACTATTGTCACGATCGTTATACGGAGTAGACCAATGCGCAGCGTTAGTTGCAAACATATTTATTTATTTAATGAATGCACGAACAAAACAACAAAACGAAAACGTGACGTCCTCGGTATAACACAACCGATACGGCAACAAACCAAAACGGAACAAGATCCCACAAACACTATGGGAAAACAGACAGTTTAAATATGGTTCCCAATCAGAGACAACCAGCCACAGCTGACACTCGTTGCCTCTGATTGAGAACCACACTGGCCAACATAGAAATACAACAACTAGAACTTGAACATAGAACAAAACACATAGAAACTACACACCCTGGCTCAACATATAGAGTCCCCAGAGCCAGGGTGTGACAGTACCCCCCCCCCAAAGGCGCGGACTGCGACCGCGCTTCAACAAAACCCAAACAGGGGAGGGCTGGGTGGACATTCCTCCTCGGAGGCGGTTCCGGCTCCGGGCTTGACCACCACCCTTCAATAATCCCCCCGTAGCGCCCCTGGTCCGGTCTGGCCCCGCTGGCTGGAGCTGGACTGGACATCGAAGGAGCGGATTGCTTAAGCTCCGTTGTGGAGCAGCTGACCAGTACCTGATCAGGCACCGGTGACCCAGGCACGGGTTGTGCCGGACTGACGACGCGCACCCCTGGCACCGTAGGCTTGGTGCGGGGAGCAGGAACAGGCCGGGCTGGGCTGGCAACGCGCACCGTAGGCTTGGTGCGAGGGGCAGGAACAGGCCGGGCCGGGCTGGAGACGCGCACCGTAGGCTTGGTGCGAGTGGCAGGAACAGGCCGGGCCGGGCTGGCGACGCACACCGTAGGCTTGGTGCGAGGAGCAGGAACAGGCCGGGCCGGGCTGGCGATGCACACCGTAGGCTTGGTGCAAGGAGCAGGAACAGGCCGGGCCGGGCTGGCGACGCACAACTTAGGCTTGGTGCGAGGAACAGGAACAGGCCGGGCCGGGCTGGCGACGCGCACCATCCACTTAGTGCGGGAAGAAGGAACGGGCCGGACCGGACTGGTGACGCACACAACTTGCTTGGTGTGAGGAGCGGGACTGGGTTTCGTCATAACCCTCGGCTCCCTCAGCTGCCTACCGAGTTCCTCTCGCCGTGCCTCAATTCTCACCTTCTCCCTTATCGCCTCCAATAGCTCCACTCTCTGCACCACTAACTCCTGCTCCCTCTGCGCCAATAGCCCCCTTAACCTGGTGGCCTCCTCACCTAACCTCCTACTACGCCCTGTAGCTGCCTCCTGCTGCCCCGTCGCCCATGCCGTATGCCCCCCCCTAAAAATGTTTTGGGGTTGCCTCTCGTCCGTCCGACGACGACACTGTTGATGCCGTTGCTCCTCTCTCCGTCGCGCCTCTACCGTCTCACTCCATGGACAGCGATCCATCCCGGCCTGGATTTCCTCCCAGGTCCAGGACCCCTGCCCGTCCAAGATCTGCTCCCACGTCCAGGCTGCCTGCTCCTGGACACGCTGCTTGGTCCTGGTATGGTGGGATCTTCTGTCACGATTGTTATACGGAGTAGACCAATGCGCAGCGTTAGTTGCAAACATATTTATTTATTTAATGAATGCACGAACAAAACAACAAAACGAAAACGTGACGTCCTCGGTATAACACAACCGACACGGCAACAAACCAAAACGGAACAAGATCCCACAAACACTATGGGAAAACAGACAGTTTAAATATGGTTCCCAATCAGAGACAACCAGCCACAGCTGACACTCGTTGCCTCTGATTGAGAACCACACTGGCCAACATAGAAATACAACAACTAGAACTTGAACATAGAACAAAACACATAGAAACTACACACCCTGGCTCAACATATAGAGTCCCCAGAGCCAGGGTGTGACAACTATGCATAGATAATACACAGAGAGTAGCAGCAGCGTAAAAGAGGGGGTGAGAGGGGGGCAGTGCAAATAGTCTGGGTAGCCATGATTAATTGTTCAGCAGTCTTATGGCTTTGGGGTAGAAGCTGTTAAGAAGCCTTTTGGACCTAGACTTGGTGCTCCGGTACCGCTTGCTGTGCGGTAGCAGAGAGAACAGTCTATGACTAGGGTGGCTGGAGTCTTTGACCATTTTTAGGGCCTTCCTCTGACACCGGCTGGTATAGAGGTCCTGGATGGCAGGAAGCTTGGCCCCAGTGATGTACTGGGCCGTACGCACTACCCTCTGAAGTGCCTTGCGGTCGGAGGCTGAGCAGTTGCCATACCAGGCAGTGATGCAACCAGTCAGGATGCTCTCGATGGTGCAGCTGTAGAACTTTTTGAGGATCTGAGGATCCATGCCAAATCTTTTCAGTCTCCTGTGGGGGAATAGGCTTTGTTGTGCCCTCTTCACGAATGTCTTGGTGTGTTTGGACAATGATAGTTTGTTGGTGATGTGGACACCAAGGAACTTGAAGCTCTCAACCTGCTCCACTACAGCCCCGTCGATGAGAATGGGGGCGTGCTCGGTCCTCTTCTTTTTCCTGTAGTCCACAATCATCTCCTTTGTCTTGATCACGTTGAGGGAGAGGTTGTTATCCTGGCATCACATGGCCAGGTCGCTGTCTCATCGTTGTCGTTGGCAAACTTAATGATGGTGTTGGAGTCGTGCCTGGCCAATCAGTCATGGGTGAACAGGGAGTACAGGAGGGAACTGAGCACGCACCCCTGAGGGGCCCCCGTGTTGAGGATCAGTGTGGCGGATGTGTTGTTACCTACCCTTTACACCTGTGTGTGTTCGTTAGGGATTTACATGACAGTTCCCTAGAGGGGTCAGCCAGGGTCTTATCAAGATATTACTGACGTGTGCCTTGTTTTTCTCATGAAGAAGGAATCTCTTTTCCAATCTGAAATGAACTCATGTCTTGCTTCATCACGACTTTCACTTGAAAAACTGTTTGTTTGGTTTAGTTAGTCTTTCCTGGACTACTTAACTCTCTCTCTCTTTGGTGTAAAGTGGTGTTCGGGGTGTTAACATGTTAACTCTACTCTGTTGTGTGGTTTAGTGGTGTTTGGTGTCAGGCCAGTGGTGTTTGGTGTCAGACAAGTGTTTGGTTTAATGTGGTGTTTTGTCAGACCAGTGTTTGGTTTAATGTGGTGTTTGGTATAAAGTGGTGTCTGGTGTCAGACCAGGGTTTTGGTGTAAAGTGGTGTCTGGTGTTTGCTGTGGCTAACACTACTGTTTCCCTGTTTGTTTGTGATGTTGTTGTTGTTGTTTATTTCCTGGTCCAGTTCTTCACTGTGGCTAACACTACTGTTTCCCTGTCTGTTTGTGATGTTGTTGTTGTTGTTTATTTCCTGGTCCAGTTCTTCCCTGTGGCTAACACTACTGTTTCCCTGTCTGTTTGTGATGTTGTTGTTGTTGTTTATTTCCTGGTCCAGTTCTTCCCTGTGGCTAACACTACTGTTTCCCTGTCTGTTTGTGATGTTGTTGTTGTTGTTGTTTATTTCCTGGTCCAGTTCTTCACTGTGGCTAACACTACTGTTTCCCTGTCTGTTTGTGATGTTGTTGTTGTTGTTTATTTCCTGGTCCAGTTCTTCCCTGTGGCTAACACTACTGTTTCCCTGTCTGTTTGTGATGTTGTTGTTGTTGTTTATTTCCTGGTCCAGTTCTTCCCTGTGGCTAACACTACTGTTTCCCTGTCTGTTTGTGATGTTGTTGTTGTTGTTTATTTCCTGGTCCAGTTCTTCACTGTGGCTAACACTACTGTTTCCCTGTCTGTTTGTGATGTTGTTGTTGTTGTTTATTTCCTGGTCCAGTTCTTCCCTGTGGCTAACACTACTGTTTCCCTGTCTGTTTGTGATGTTGTTTATTCCCTCAGTTCTTACATGTTTTCTCTCCTCTCTCTGTGGTTGGTTTATTTGGTTTAGATATGATCTTGGACCTGTTTTTGTTTGTTTGTTGTTAATTTCCCGGGGGGTCCAGTTCTTCACAGAGTACGGTCCTGACTACTCCCTGGAGATCAGCCCCAGCTGTCGACACGACCGCAATGAGACCAAACACCTGGACACAGTCATCTGTGCTCTACTCTGACACTCACTCCTCCACCTCGCACTCACTCCTCCACTCTGACACTCCCTCCTCCCCACTCCCTCCTCCACTCTGGACACTCACTCCTCCACTCTGACACTCACTCTCCACTCTAACCTCACTACTGCCACTCTGACACTCACCCTCCACTCAACACTCCTCCCACTCTAACACTCACTCCTCCACTCTGACACTCACTCCTCCACTCTGACACTCAACTCCTCCACTCTGACACTCCTCCTCCTCCCCTCTAACACGCACATCCTCCCTCTGACACTCACTCCTCCTCTTCTGACACTCACTCCTCCACTCTGAACTCATCCTCCACGCTGACACTCACGCCTCCCTCTAACACCACTCCCCACTCTGACACTCACATACTTTCCTCCTCCTGGACACTTCACTCCAATCCACTCTGACACTCACTCCTCCACTCTGACACTCACTCCTCCACTCTGACCTCACTCTCCACTCTAACACTCACTCCTCCACTCTGACCTCTCCTCCACTCTGACACTCATCCTCCACTCTGACACTCACTCCTCCACTCTGACACTCACTCCTCCACTCTAAACCACTCCTCCACTCGACACTCCACTCCTCCACTCTGACACTCTCCTCCCACTCTAACACTCACTCCTCCCACTCTAACACTCACTCCTCCACTCTGACACTCACTCCTCCCACTCTGACACTCATCCTCCACTCTGACACTCACTCCTCCACTCTGACAACTCACTCTCCACTCTAACACTCACTCCTCCACTCTGACACTCACTCCTCCACTCTGACACTCACTCCTCCACTCTGACACTCACTCCTCCACTCCTCCACTCTGACACTCACTCCTCCACTCTGACACTCACTCCTCACTCTGACACTCACTCCTCCACTCTGACCACTCACTCCTCCACTCTAAACATCAACTCCTCCACTCTGACACTCTCACTCCTCCACTCTGACAACTCACTCCTCCACTCTGACACTCACTCCTCCACTCTGAACACTCACTCCTCCACTCTGACACTCACTCCTCCACTCCTCCACCTGACACTCACTCCTCACTCTAAAACTCACTCCTCCACTCTGACACTCATCTCCACTCTGACACTCACCTCCACTCACACTCACTCCTCCACTCTGACACTCACTCCACTCCACTCACTCCACTCAACTCCTCCTACTCTGACACTCACTCCTCCACTCTACACTCACTCCTCCACTCTGAAACACACTCCCCTCAACTCACCCTCCACTCTGACACTCCACTCCTCCACTCTGACACTTCACTCCTCCACTCTGAACACTCAACTCCTCCACTCTGACACTCACTCCTCCACTCTACACTCACTCCTCCACTCTGACACTCACTCCTCCACTCCACTCTGACACTCACTCACTACACTCACTCCTCCACTCTAACACTCACTCCTCCACTCTGAACACTCATCTCCTCCACTCTGAACATCACTCTCCTCCACTCTGACACTCACTCCTCCACTCTGACAAATCACTCCTCCACTCTGACACTCATCCTCTCTAAACCACTCCTCCACTCTGACACTCACTCACTCCTCCACTCTGACACTCACTCCTCCACTCTGACACTCACTCCTCCACTCTAACACTCACTCCTCCACTCCTCCTCCACTCTGACACTCACTCCTCCACTCTGACACTCACTCCTCCACTCTGACACTCACTCCTCCACTCTAACACTCACTCCTCCACTCTGACACTCACTCCTCCACTCTGACACTCACTCCTCCACTCTAACACTCACTCCTCCACTCTGACACTCACTCCTCCACTCTAACACTCACTCCTCCACTCTGACACTCACTCCTCCACTCTGACACTCACTCCTCCACTCTAACACTTTCCTGCTCTACTCTAGATGAGACTGCTTTAGTTTAAAGTGGGGGTTCTTTAGTTTAATGAGCCAGACCCTTCCAGAATGTATTTATTTAGACATTAAAGACCAGAACCCCCCCCCCCCCCCCCCCCCCATATACAGGCCCATATGCCCCCCACAGTTGACACAGAAGGGGGTGTTGACAGCACCCCAAGGAGACGGCTCTACCCCTCACCTAAAACTCACCCCCGACCTCCAAACACAAACACACTTTCTGACCCCCTCTTCTTTGGGAGGACACAGACCCACCGGTCGTCAGCCTGCTGGCCTGTTCTGACTGTGGTGAAATAAGGGACCTTGGTTTGATGTTTCAGAAAGTCTGGGGGGGGGGGGGGGGGGGCAACGTCTGGTGAGAAGTTACAGAGACAAATTCTCCATGCTGACACATACTTACACACAAAGATTGCCAACTTTGTGTGTGGTGGTCCATTGGTGTATGTGCTGAGTGCTGCCCTACGACCCTACTCCATGGGGACCAGCAGTGGTCTGTGTGGACGGGGTCGACTCAGGGTTAAAACCTGTCTTCACTGTAGAGGGAGAGCAGGGATTTTTCTGCCATTGTATTCCTTGGGCGGGCCGCCTAAGCATTTTTTTCAGGTTGCCTAACTAACGGTGTAAATGAATATGAAGAAAAAATGCTTTAAACTTAAAGGACTAAAACCAGATATAAAGTATGTAGGAAAGATAATGGACCTATATATTTTTTAAATAATATAATCTTTGAGAACTAACAATCACCTAAATAAAAGCTAGACAGTCAGGGAGAATTGAGAATTCCAAAAACAATGAATTTAGCAGTATTCATTATGTTTGAGCAAAAGAACACAGTATTATCCATGCATAGAAATGCAGGAAATTAGCTTTAAAACTGCAACAACAACAAAAACGCAGCTCCATGGAGAAATGTGTAGAATTGCAGGAAATTGGCTTAAAAATGCTCAAATGTCTCTACAGCGCCATGATGGGGCCCTCTAAGACCCTTTTTGATCCAGATAAAACCCTGGATAGGAGGCTATTGTCTTATGCTAGGGGCTAGGAGCTATGGTAAGAGGTAAACCTGTCTTCACTCTGTAGAGGGGTAGGGGTTGCGAGGGACTAGTGAAGGGGACTAGGGAGTAGGCTTTGGAAAGAGGTAGGGGCTAGGGTTTGGGACTAGCAAAGGGGGCTAGGTAGTAGGCTTTGGAAGGAGGTAGGGGCTAGGGTTTGGGTCTAGCAAAGGGGGCTAGGTAGTAGGCTTTGGAAGGAGGTAGGGGCTAGGTTAGGGACTAGCAGAGGGGGCTAGGGACAAATGGGAGGAGGGAGGGGTAAAATGAAAGGCAGGCATAACGTGCCTTCGGTCTTGTCACATCTACTCCTTCAGTTCAGAGATCCTTTGTTTGCTTTTCTCTCTCTCTCTCTCTCTCTCTCTCTCTCTCTCTCTCTCTCTCTCTCTCTCTCTCTCTCTCTCTCTCTCTCTCTCTCTCTCTCTCTCTCTCTCTCTCTCTCTCTCTCTGTCTTAGTTTTTTTCTTTCTGATGGGAATTCAATCCATGCATTTAAATTTAAGGTGACGTCATTCTTTCCTCTCTTCCCCCTCTCCGTTCTTTCTTTCTGTGACTGAGGGTGGGATGTGAGTTCACCCTGTCACGTCTGTTTTACTTCTTCTTTCTCTCTCTCACACACACACCTCAACCATGTGTTAGAGAGAAACTGTGTGAGAGAAACATACAGACTACAGTGGTTCCAGCTTAGACCTGGATGTGGTTGCTGGGCAACTGTGGCAAAGTGCAGACTGGAAAGCAATGTTTACTAGTGTTCCCAACTCAGGGAGCCCAATGTTTACCAGTGTTCCCAACTCAGGGAACCCAATGTTTACCAGTGTTCCCAACTCAGGGAACCCAATGTTTACCAGTGTTCCCAACTCGGGGAACCCAATGTTTACCAGTGTTCCCAACTCGGGGAACCCAATGTTTACCAGTGTTCCCAACTCGGGGAAACCAATTTTTACCAGTGTTCCCAACTCAGGGAACCCAATGTTTACAAGTGTTCCCAACTCAGGGAACCCAATGTTTACCAGTGTTCCCAACCCAGGGAGCCCAATGTTTACCAGTGTTCCCAACTCAGGGAACCCAATGTTTACCAGTGTTCCCAACTCAGGGAACCCAATGTTTACCAGTGTTCCCAACTCGGGGAACCCAATGTTTACCAGTGTTCCCAACTCGGGGAACCCAATGTTTACCAGTGTTCCCAACTCGGGGAACCCAATTTTTACCCGTGTTCCCAACTCAGGGAACCCAATGTTTACAAGTGTTCCCAACTCAGGGAACCCAATGTTTACCAGTGTTCCCAACCCAGGGAACCCAATGTTTACCAGTGTTCCCAACCCAGGGAACCCAATGTTTACCAGTGTTCCCAACCCAGGGAACCCAATGTTTACCAGTGTTCCCAACCCAGGGAACCCAATGTTTACCAGTGTTCCCAACCCAGGGAACCCAATGTTTACCAGTGTTCCCAACCCAGGGAACCCAATGTTTACCAGTGTTCCCAACCCGGGGAACCCAATGTTTACCAGTGTTCCCAACCCAGGGGAACCCAATGTTTACCAGTGTTCCCAACCCAGGGAACCCAATGTTTACCAGTGTTCCCAACTCGGGGAACCCAATGTTTACCAGTGTTCCCAACTCAGGGAACCCAATGTTTACCAGTGTTCCCAACCCAGGGAACCCAATGTTTACCAGTGTTCCCAACCCAGGGAACCCAATGTTTACCAGTGTTCCCAACCCAGGGAACCCAATGTTTACCAGTGTTCCCAACCCAGGGAACCCAATGTTTACCAGTGTTCCCAACCCAGGGAACCCAATGTTTACCAGTGTTCCCAACCCAGGGAACCCAATGTTTACCAGTGTTCCCAACTCGGGGAACCCAATGTTTACCAGTGTTCCCAACCCAGGGAACCCAATGTTTACCAGTGTTCCCAACCCAGGGAACCCAATGTTTACCAGTGTTCCCAACCCAGGGAACCCAATGTTTACCAGTGTTCCCAACCCAGGGAACCCAATGTTTACCAGTGTTCCCAACTCGGGGAACCC